TATATGAATAAAATATTTATAATAATCAAAAACATTCTAATATTAATTTTTTTTAAGGATTTTCTAATAATATATCACCAAATATTAATTAAAGTTTTTAAAAATAACCTTATTTAAATAAATATAATTTATAAAATGATAATAATTAATAAACTACAAAGTATTAAATTTTATAAAACTATATATTAGTTAAATTTTTTTAAAAAATAAATAAATATAAAGATATATTAATAAAAATAATATATAAATAAATAATAATAGTTTAACAAATATTGGAATTTTTGATGAAAATAATAACTGGCATATAAATGAATAAGAAATAAAAATTATATAAAACCATTTTAATCAATTTTATATAGATAGACTACATTATAGAAGATAGTTTTTCAATGAAAAATAATAAAGTTATAAAGAAATAAATAAAGAAACAAAAAATTCGTCTTCTACAAAAAGATATAATAATGATCTAGCCTAAAATTATAAAAAAAGAATAATTGAAGAAGCATAAAAATAAAATGTTATAAAAAATAAAATTATATATATATATTAATAAATATATAAATAATATAATATAAATGTATATAAATATATATATACATATATACATATTTTTATAGATTTCTTTTGTTTATAATAATTCTTTAGATCTTAAATAATCTTTTATTAAAATTAAAGAGAAAAAAACTGATTAATTAAGACATTTATTAAAACTCAAAGAATTAAAAGAATGTACTTTTCATCCTAAAACTAATAAATTAAACCATTCAATATCATAATAACAATTGTAAATATTTTTATATATTTATTACTTATTAAAAAATAGAACTTCTTAACCAAAATATGAATAATTATATAATAAAAGAAAAATCTAAAAAATTAAAATTGATAAATCTTTTAACGATATAGAGTTTGAAAAAAACTGTATTGAATGCACTTTTTATCCTAAAGTATCTATCAATAAAAACTATAAAAATTAATTATCTAAAAGTCCTTAACCTGTAGTTAAATAATTATAAAAATAGGTTAATAACTTGAGAAAAGGAAAAGAAAGGCATCAAAATATAAATTAAAATATTAGAGACATTTCTTTAATTAATAATTAAATAAACTAATCTGATAAAAGTTCTTCTGTGTAATCTAAATGTAATTTTTTTGAAAAAATAATTAAAAAAAATTAAAAAAAAAGTAAAAGGTAGTACTTTATTTTCTTCCATATAACAAAGTCCAATAAATTAAAATTAAACTAAATAAAATCATTAATAAAAATAAAAATAATACTCTTCTATAAATATAATTTAAAGTCCATAATTAAATGATTAATTAGATTATAATTCAATTTAATAAGATTAAAGTTTTAATTTTATAAAATATAAAAAAATATAAAAAATTATTATAAAGATTAAGAAATATTACTTTATGTCGATGTTAATTTAGGGCCAGATCAGATGGAAAGAATTGTGGTTAAAAAAGGTGACTCTTTAAATTAATTAGCCAATAATTTTATTATTAATCATCGTATTTATTACTCCTTAAAATTTATTTATATATTTTTAAAAAAAAAGATTTACCTTTTGATATTAAAGATAAATTAATAGAGCTTTTAGAATTTTAAGTAAATTAAGTTTTAGAAAAAGCATCGATTAATTGATAGAAAATTTAAAATAATAAAAAATGTATAATTTTTTTTTAAAAAAATAAGGTTTTTTATATATACTACTTTTTTAGTTTTAAGTATATTTATTTATTTAATAATTTTAAATGTGAATTTATATATGTATATATAATTTTTTTTTTTTTTCCTTAATAAAATAAATAATGGATATATAAATTATTTAATAATTATTTGAAAAAAATATTCTTTTATTAAAAAATGCATCAGAAAAAGAAAAAAATGTTATAATTTATAAACTGAATTTTATTTTTGGAAATACTTTAATATAATCTTTATAAATAATAAAGAAATAATCCATTATAAAATATTAAACTATTGATAACTATTATTAATATTAAAATCCTTAACTTTATTAAATAAATGAAGATAAAAAATAAATATACATTATATTTTTCAACTAAAATAATAAAAATAAATATTGTTCATGTGATTATTTTAGCAGTATTAATTTTTTAGAAAAACTAAATATTTGTAAGCATATACTTGCCATTTTAATATCTGAATAATCAAACGAATTTTAAATTAAATAAATCGAATTAGATAAATACTTTGAAATTTTATAATAAATTTAAAAATGAAAATTATATAAAAAAAAAAAAATATATATTTAATATTTTTTTAATAAAAAATTAAATAAATATATTAAAAAACAAACAAAAATTTCCGTTTTATAAAAAATAAAGAAAAATAAAATAAAGAACAAAAATAAAAATATTAAAAATGAATTAACAATAACCAATAAACACTAATTAAGATCAATAATAAAATTAAATGCAAAACTATAATAATGAATATGTTAGTTTAAAGTCTGGTCATTAGAAAAAATATAATTATAATTTTGTACCATCTTAATACTGTGATAATTGCAATAAAGAAGCAAACCTTCAGATCAAATATTAAATAGGAACAGGAACTTGGCTATGTTGTTTAATTTGGTCTGTTTTTGGAATTTTACCTGGTATATTACCTTTTTGTTGTAATAATTGTAAAGATACTTCTTATTATTGTTAATAATGCTAAAACCATATAACTAAAGTTAGATATGAACCTTGTGATTGCATCAATAGAAATTGAATATAAAATTATTGTTAAAAGCACAATATAAAAAAATTAAACCCAAAAAAAAGATATTTTTTTACACAGTAAATAATTTTAGTTGTTTTATGATTATATTTTAAAAATTTAATTATATAATAATTTAAGTTTATCATATAGTTATATTTAAAAGATTTATTATTATTAAATTAAACTAATGAAATATTATTATATTTTCAAATAAAATAAAATATTAACAATATTTGTAAAAAAATATTAATAATACTACTAATATAATATATAAATTTTTATTTAAATATTATATGTATTATTGTATTATAATAAATATATACTTTAATATTTCATTTGCTTTTATTATTTAATATTTTTAACAAAATACTTTATTATAATACTTATTTTCTTATTACATTTATTTTATTTTTGAATATTTTATATCCAAAAAAACTTTAAAATCTACCCTTACAAATTCGAATAAATGTTTTTAATTTAACAACTCGAATGCCCAAATTAATTAAAAATATAATATATTAAAATCTCTTATTATAAACCTTAAAACTTTACACCTTTAAAAGTTAAAAATAAATTAATTTTATATAGCTAATTGTTTATTTTTTAGTATAGATTTGTTTTTTTTTAAAAAAAAAACAATAATTAAAAAATAACATTATATAAAAAAATCTAAAGTAAAATTAATTTAAAGTCTTTTTATTTTTTAATATCTTAATTTTTCGAAATTAATTTTTTATATAATAATTTAAAATAAACTTTAACTAAATATTAAATTTATAATTTTTATTATTATTTCATTTAAAATTTAGAAATATTTATTTATAATAAATTCAATATTATAATAACATTGATTTTATTTTTTATTTTTTAAAATAATTATTTATTTTTACTTATATTTTTTTTTAAAAAGAATCAATAATCATTTTGTTAAGAGAGTTTTTTAAAATGTTAAAAAAAAATATTATCTACATTATTAAAAATTATTTAATATTACTCCATTTTTTTATTTTTTAGTATTCTTACTTAATTATTTTTGTTTTGTTTTTTTATTTTATTTTACAATTAAAACTTTTAATTTAAATTTATAAATTTTAAAAATTATTATTTAAATTAAATTTGAATTGATATCATATTATAATTGAAATAAATAATTTTTTTATATAAAAATAAATAAATGATGATAAATATTTACTCATATCCATAAAATGTTAGTTTTATATTTCTGTTAATAAATAATATAAATAGTTATAGTTTATAAATAAATGATATTTATGTAAAAAATATATTAATTTTTTTTATTATAATATTTATTACATATTATTTATTATTATTTTTAAAAAATATTAATATATATAAACATTTATATTTTATTTTAGAAATGATAATACTTTATTTTTTGGAAATATTATTTTACTTAAATAAATCAAAAAAATTAAAATTTAAAAAAAAAAATATATACAAAAAAAATTCAAATAAAAATGAGTAATAATAATAATACTAGTAGATTCGCTTTCGGCAATTTAAGTCATTAAAAAAATATTAATTAATAAACTCCTTATAATTAAAAAACTTATTATAATTAAATTTAAACTTCATAAAAAAGCAACAACAACAATCAATCTAACTAAAAAAATATTAAAACTAATCCAGACAATATTTTTGAAAAAAGGAAATAATAAAAAAAATCTTAACTAGATAAAATAGATTCTCCGGAATAAAAGTTTGGCAATTCGTATAATATATCAGAAGTAAAAATTAAAACAAAAAAACACTTATATATTTATTTTAATGTAAATAATTAAAGCCTATGATAGAAAATGAATTAAAGGAAATAATGAATTTTTTCGAAAAAGAAGATTTTTAGAATAATGAAAAAGATAATAATTTTTCAACTTTTTTAAATACTTAAAAATTTGAAAAAATAATACAAGGAAAAAATCAAAAAGAAAACTAAATTTAAATTTTAAATAATTTTAAACACGCAGAAAATATAGATGAAAGTAAAACTATCGAAAAATATATGTAAGTTTTAGATTTAAATAATTAAGTAAGTGATTTATGTGAATGAAAAAATTCTTTCCTTATTTTTTTTTTTTTCTAAATTGTATATATATTTTAATATTTTGTAATGTAAATTTATATTTAAAAAGATTAAATAATATTAATAAAAAAGTATTTATATATTATTTTAATTTAAAAAGAAATATATATATATATAAAATATTTTTTTAAAATAAAATAAAAAAGTATATAAAAAATACAAATGATAAATTTTGATAGTAATGGAGATATTTTAAATTAGGAATAAAATTAATATCGAAATTAAGACTTAGAAAAATAAATAAATTAATTATACGATAATAACAATTAAATTTCAATTTAACAATAAACTAAAGAAAAATAAATTATAATTGAAAAATAATTACCACTACAAAAAGAAAATCTCTAAATATAAAAATTCAAAAGATATTATGGAAAAACATGTGTCATAATGCATATCAAAAATGAGCCTTTATTTACATTAGGACCAGATTGTAAAAAAAAAAAAAACCAAAAATAAATTTTCTATTTTTTGCTGTTTTTTTTTTTATTTAATAAAAAAAAGTTAAAATATTTATAGGAACATGGATTTCTTTTTTGATTTTAGGTTATTATTTGACATTTAAATACTCAGTTAAAAAAGGAAAAGTTATATATATTTTAACATTTGGAATAAACTTCTTACAAATAATAAGTTATTTACTAACTGCATTACTAAACCCAGGTATCGCAAGTGCTAAAAAACCACCAGACAATACTATAATTCATTATAATTAGTAATATAAACAAAATAAAAAATAAATAAAAAATAAAAAAAACATAGTTTTTGTGATAAATGTTAAATAATAAAAAACTAAGGAATATATCATTGTTTCGAATGTGATATTTGTATTTAAGATTATGACCATCATTGTCCTTGGACAGGAAAATGTATAGGGAAAGGGAATATGTTTTTTTTTAAGATATTTATTTGCTGTACATTTTTTTATTTTTTCTATTGTTTTTTTTTGTTTCTTTTATGAAATAAAAAAAACTAAAAAATACTCAATTATATATGTTATTTTTATTTTCCATCATTCTGGTTAATTTTATAAATAATTTTAGTAATCTAAATAACTTTTATATGAAAACAAAGCAAACCCACTCAAAAAACTTTTATAAAATTAAATACCCCATCCAATCATTAAAGATTTTCTATATGTATTACTATAATTTGTAAAAGTTTTCTTAACATTTACTTCTACTTCGAAATCAGTTCCTTGTAAAAACAACTTTCGTCTTAAAGTATCAAAAGGATAAGCTACTTTTTATCCTATAATTGTCGCTAAAACACTTGTAGGTAACTATAAATACCATCCATAATCTTTTAAACCCAAATTCATTAAAGTTTCATATAATCCGATTTAAATGCCTCTATAAATAGCCGCTCCTAACATTGAAATTCCAAATCCTGTAAATTATCCATATTTATTATTTTCTGCTTGTTATATGAAAGGAGTAATAGGTGCTATAATTATAAATATATAAATATTTTTAAAAAATAATTATTTTGTTACATCTATATTTTTATTTTTCATAATCTGGATCTGAATCCATTATCATTATTGTTTTAGCTTTTTCTAAAGGAAACGCAAATATTTCTACAAAAGATCCAATAGCAAATGAATAATAAAAGTTATAAAAAGAGTGTTTAACTGGATCTGCTTTTATATCAAAATGGTTGTTTTTATTCAATAATTTTTGAGAAAAATAAAAAGCTCCAAATTCTTTTACATATAATTTTGCTAATTAACATATATATCCTCTATATAATAATGTAGAAAGTTCAATTTCTTCATTTTATTATAAAAAATTTCTCACAGTTTTTATAAATTTGTATCTATTATCCTAATTATATATTTCTGGAAATGCATTGTTAACTTATTACATTATTTTGATCTTATCAAGTGGAAATAATATTGTCTACATTAATAAAAAATAATATAAACCATATTCTTTTAAGTATTCGTTATATTGTTATTTATTTTCATTTTTTATAAATTCTTAAAATTCTTTAAAAATTTTTACGAATTTAATATCTGACATTTTTTTTTATTTATTTTAGTTATTTAATTATATTTATATCTCTTAGTATTTTTATTTTTATATTTATATTTATGTTTTTTTTTTTTTAATTAATTATTATTATATACATTTAAAGGTAAATTAGATTAAATATATGTTTTTATTCTATTTTTTTTTTTTTTTTTCTTTATTAAATGATATATATGTTTTCATATTTTATTTATTTTATTTTTCAACATTCACATCCACCTTTATTTTATTAATTAGGATTATTTGATAAATGACTATTCTTAGCATTATTTTCATTTTACATCATTTTTTCTTTTATATCTCTACAAATACTAATAAACGCATCATGTACATTTTCATTAGTTTTTGCTGAAGTTTCGAAAAACTTAATTCCAAAACTATCTGCTAAGGCTTTTCCTTCTTAAAGAGTAACCTATCTTTCACTCTCCATATCACTTTTATTGCCTACAAGTATTTTTTATACATTACTATCTGCTTATTCTCTAATTTATTTCATCCATAATTCAACATTATTAAAAGATTCTTTATCATTTATTGCATATGTCATTATTATTCCCATTGCTCCTTTATAATAATTTTAAGTGATTGTACGAAATCTTTCTTACCCGGCTGTATCCCATACTTATAATTTTATTTTTTTATTATCTATTTCTATTTTTTTCATTTTAAAGTCAATTCCTATTTATTTTTATTTTATTTTTTCTCTATTTTTATTTGAAAAAAACCTATAGTTGTTAAATGGGTTTGAGAAAATTTATCGTCACAAAATCTTAAAAGAATGTTTGTTTTTCCTACTCCGGAATCACCTATAATTAATAATTTTACTAGCCAATCATATTCGGTATCTTTTTAAGGTTATCTTGACATTTTTATTTTATTTTTTTTATCTTAAGTTAATATTTTATTTAATTTTGTTTGTTATTTTAAAATTTTATAATTATTAAATATTTTTTTAATAAAACAAATTATTATTTTCTTTAATATTTTAACAAAAATTTGAAGGTTATTATATTAGATCTAGAAAAAAAAATATTAAATTCTTATAATAAAATATTTATATTTATTAAATTTAAACTATAAAATGTTTAAAAACATATTATTTTTTATGTTTAGAATTAATTAAAAATAATTTTTTTTTTTTTTATTATTTCAAAAAATTAATAGAAAAAATAAAATAAAAAACACTAAATAATATTTTAGAAAAATGGAAAATTAAATTGAAAATAATTCATTATCATAATTAGATAATTAAATAAGATTTTAGTCTTTAAACAATTATTAAAATTTTAGAATTTTAAATTTACAAAAAATAGGTTCTTTAAGCGATTCATATTTAAATAAATAATAAAAATTTCCAAACGATAAAACGAATCTAAATAAATTAAGATTTTAAATTGCAAAAATTTTTAAAAATATTGAAAGATATTAAACAAAAAGACATTAAAGCTTTTTATTATATTCCTTAAAAAAAGTATCTACTTTTAATACAAGAAGTATAGAAAATTAAAACTTCGTTAAATAATTTACATTCCATTAACTATCTTTAAAAGAACCAAAATAAAGTAAAAAAAAAAGTAAACATGAAAACGTTGATTTAAAAATAAATTAAAAATAATAATAAATACATGAAAAAGTACAAAATTATTTGATTTTTAAAATTAAAAAAAAAATAATTTAGAATTTTTTTTTTTTAAAAAAAAAAAAAACTTATCCCCAACATTTTTTGATTAAATTTTTATAAAAAAAAAAAAAAGAGAAAGGAAACTATTAAAAGTTTATTAAAAACAATTCATTAATTAAATAAATAAGAAAGAATTTTAAAAGCAGTAAGACATCTACATGATGGTTTAAATTTAAGACCTGTACGAAATGATATAGAAGGTTTTTTTTTTTTTAAAAAAAAAATAAGTAATATAAATAATATTTAGTCTTGTAAAATCCTTTTATATATTATGTTTACCTTTGGCAAATAAATTTTATTTGGAATTATCTTTTATTTCTTTTATCTTTTAGTTTACTAATTTTAAGTTTTAACGAGCCAACAAATAGTCATGATACCTATACTATAATTCCTTATTTCTAGAAAATTTATGAGATAATTATTATCTGTATTTTGCAATTTGATGTTTTTTTAGAAATTATACATAGATTAAATGATTAAGATAAAATGTATTTATTTATTGTTAATAAAAAGCTCTCTTTAAGAACTCTTTTTATATTTATTTTAGAGTTAGATTATATTATTTTTTATTCTACCAAAAGTAATTAAAGATTTGGTAAATATTTCAGGCCATGTATTTTATTTTTTTCAATAATTTAAAATGAATTTTTATAGTTATGATTTTGTTTTATTCTACAGAATTAAGGAGGTCTTTTAAAAGTATTTTAGGTTCAATGCGTAAAATTTTATAGCTTTTCTTTTTTTTTTTCTTTACTACTTTTACCTTTGCTTTAATAGGATATCTTATAATAGGTAATTTAGATAATTAAATTGAATATGACGAATACACAGTAAATTAAAAAAAAAAAATACTAAAAAATAAATAAAAAGAATAATTTTTCAAACATATTAAATTCATTTAATTTGCTTTTTGCAATGATAAGCTTTGATGGATATCCAGAATGTATATTACCTTCAATAACATATTCTCGTTATTATTTAATATATTTTATTTCATATGTAACCTTATAATTATTTATTTTTGTTCCAATACCTGTAGCTGTAGTTTTTGAATCATATTGTGTAATATAAAAAAATTAAATTAAAATAGCAAATATTATTTTTTACTAAGCGAAGTAGAAGTAAATATGTCCTATAAGATCGAATAAAATAAAGAGAATGTTTATTAGCAAGCTTTATTTCTATAGATTTTAATGAGTAAGTAAAATAAATTTATAAACATAAAAACAAATTAAAAAAAACAAAAAAGAAATAAGAGTATTGATTATGAGACTTTCCATAATTTTATGAGTATTGTTTATTTAAATAAAAAAAAATTGTAAAAAGAATTAGAAGTCTATTTTTGCATTTAGATAAATAATAATAGTAGATTCTAACTCTAGATGATTTTTTTGATTTAATAGATGTTCTCGAAAGTAATAAAAAATTTTCACTCCCATATATTAAGGATAATTTATGTTGGAAAAAAACAAGGAATTTCTTTAATAAAAAACTTTACTTAAAAAAAATTGCAAATAACAATTATTTCGAATTGTTTATGTCAATCGTATTGATATTTAATATAATTGTTATAATATTATCATTATTAGAACTTAGAGAGAACATATAAAAAATCTATGAAACAATAGATGATTTAATAGTTTATATATATGTCATTGAATTCGGAATAAAATTTATAGGTTTGGGATTTGAAAAATATTTTGAAGATAGTTGGAATGTATTTGATTTTTTAATGTTAATTATGACTCTTTCAACAAATATTCTAACTTAATTAATTTAAGTATTAAAAAATGCCAAATTATTAAAAATTTCTAGAATCAATAGAATTATTAAAATTTTTAATAAACTAAGGTCTTTTAAAGTATTTAATTTATTAATTATTGGCGCTGAAACATTAAATTAAGTTTAACTTTTAATTTAAAAGATTTTTATGTGCATACCTATAAGTAAATGAATTTCTTTTTTTTTTTAATTTATATTAAAAAATAATAAGTTTTACAATTAATTCCAATTTTAATTATTATTTTTTATCTTTATGCTGTTTGGGGAATGGAAATTTTCAATATAAGAACTTTCTCATATAAAAAAAATTCTCCTTATTAAGAGAATATACTAGGAGACTTCACTTCTTTTAAAAATTCTCTTTTAATACTTTTCTAAATTATGATTGAATCAAACTGGAGTTTGTGTACATATGATTATGCGTACAAATTCGGAAATTTTCTATTAAGTATGTTCTTTTTTAATACTTTTGAAATGTTTATTTCTTTAATTTTGCTTTCGCTTATTAAAGGGGTTGTCTGGGAAGTTTTCAGGGTAGTTGATTAGGAATTAAAAGAAAAAAACTAAGAAAAGGAAAGTTAACATTTAATTTAAAAAAAAGAGAGCTAGATAATAAGTTAACCTAATAATATTTAAGAAATTAACAATTATTTTATTATTATTAATAATATTCGAAACAATACCTTTTAGAATAGCCTGATTTCTAGTGAAGGAGCTCTTCCTTATTATCCTTAAGAATGCCCGAATATATCGAAAAAATTATAAGAAGATGAGGATAAAAATAGTAATCTTATAGATGAATATAAATAATTCTTTACAAAACTAAAATTAAATAATAATAAAAATTTTAATTCTCCAAGAGATTTTGATTTAAGAAAAGAAAAAAATCCTTTGATTTTATTAGGTGAAAAAAGGAACTCCTAATCATCTTCTTCCTAAATAAGTATTATTTAGGGTATTTTCGAAATTAAAGAATAAATATATGGGCCTTCTATAAAAAAGTAAATTTAAAAATATATATATAAATAATATACATAATATAGTGAAATAGTAAATAAAATAGAATACTAATAAAGCTAAACAAACCAAAAAACAAAAAGTGAATCAAATATAAGTATAAACTCATAAATAAATAATATCGAAAATGAAAAGAAAATACAAATAGAAATAATTAGACATTTAAAAATCAAAATTAAACCATTTAAATTTCTAAAAACAATCCAAAAATAAAAGAAAAAATAAAATATGGAAATCGATTTCTCATAAGATTTTTTACTCTCCGATAATGCTGAAGCAATGCGAATTTACATAAAATAAATGCACGACGATTTATTAGATGATAAAGAAGATGAAGAATAAAAAAAAAAAAACGAGGAACTTATTAAAGAAAGAAATTAATACGGAAACGATTAAGAAAGTATAAATTCTAATTATATGATGAAAAAAGCACTTTTAAAAGACTCAAATATGGATATGATAAAAAAACTTGAAATTGATTATTTCTAAGACTGTTATGGGACTTTTTTTAATATTTTTCATGATGTTAATGCTGGTCCTATTTTAAAATATGAGAGTTTTCTTTTGTATAATTTTAAAAGATTACTAAGACATAACTAAATTGAAAGCCAAAGTTTTTTTTAAATTTTGAATAGCTTTGAAAAAAACTTAAGTAATGTTATTTTTAGAAAAGGAAGTTTTATGAAATTTGTTTTTCAAGTATATTATTTAAATTATTTTATTTATTTTTGTTAACTTTAATTTAAAAAAAAAGGACTCTTTAGATAATTGGTTCTGTATTCATTAACAAGATAATAAATATCAACCTTTTTTAATAGGAGATGGTCCTTGGGATTATTATGATAAAATTTTTAATAAAAAAAATGAAATATTTATTTCAAAAGATTTCTTTTTGACTCCCTAAATTGAAATCATGTAATAATTAATGGTCAAATTTTACGAATCTTTTGCTAAAATTGCTAGTTGTATAGAAAATGATTAAAGTTTCTTATAACTGAATCCTAATGATAAAATATTGTAGAATAAATATTATATTTATTATATTTTTTTTTTTAAAAAAAAAATACTAGTGACCTTTTTTTTATGTTTGATATTAATAATTTTTAAGAAAAAACTATTTCTTAAACTTCTAAATTACTAAATAAAAAATTCTAAAATAATTTATAATAAAAAATAAACATATTTGTAAAAAAAATCATGATAATTATAGTTTCTTATATAGGAGAAACTGAATAAGAAAATAATAATTTAAATAAAGGCATTTTCAAAAATATTTGTGATTCGGATAATTAAACTTAAAGATAATCTAATAAAAAGGCTGGATTTAAAGTTAATTTAGAGTATATAAAAAATAGTTAAACTTCTTATAAAGATTAAATTAATTAATAAAGTTCTATGCCTCTCGCTTATGTCATTGAAATGCTAAAAAACTTATAAGATATTTTATAAATACATAGAACAAACTTTTATATTAAGGTATCTGAATTACTCAACTATTAAATAAATTAAAATAATGATTAAGAATAAATTTGATTTTTTTTTTGTATATAATAATTTTCTATTTTTATAAATCAACTATTATTTAATTTCTATAAAAGTATAATATTTAATAAATTGCAATTAATTAAATTTCATAATTAATAAATAATGATTATATTTAAAATATTAAAAATTAAGATAATTAATTTAAAACGCTTATAATAATTTAAATATTAAATAAAAAAAAGAAAATATAAAATTTAAAAAAAAAAAAAAAAAAAAAAAAATATATATATATAAAGATATTTATTAAAATAAAAAAAAACAAATATAAATATAAATATAAATATATATATATATATATATATTATATAATTATTTTATATATAATTTTGTTTTTATTTAATTTATTTTATTTAATAATATTAAGCGAAAAATATAAATAATAAAATTAATATAATATTATAAATGATAAAAGAAAAATATTTATGTATATAAATAAATTAATAAATAATTTAATATAAATATAATTTATTTTTTATTGATCTATTCTAAATTTTTATATTATTATTTTATACAATATATTAATAAATTAATATTTATAAAGATAAATTTTATATATTAAATAATTGTATTTATACAATATTAAGTAAATTTTCCCTAATTTTGGCTATCAAAAAATTGCTTAAATAAATATATCTTTAAATAATATAAAAAAAAAAAAAAAAATTAACATTAAATAAACAAAAAGTATAAGTAAAATACAAATAGTAACAGAAAAAAAGCAAATATAAATGCTAGGTCAGCTTTAAAACGCGTTAAAAATAAATAAAATGCCAAATGTAAAAATAATAAAAAAATAAAAAATATTGAATATTATTCCACTAATGAACAAAATAATAAAAAAAATTAAAAAAAGTAAAATGTATAATAATAATAATCAGAAAACCAAGACACTGGAATTTTTAAATAATTAAAAAGCAAAGCTGAAGATAATATAAAAAAATTTAAATAAAATGATACAATATTAAAAATAACTGAATAAGCAACAAAGAAATACGAAGCTTTAGATAATAGCTTAAAAAGCTTAATATTATAACAAAAAGAGAAAATAAATATATTTATAAGAATCAAAATAGAAGAGACAATTTTAAAACTTCTTGAAAAATATAAACCCAATATAAAGAATTCTTTAAAAGATCCCGACATGCCTAATTGTATATAAGAATCAATAGACGATACAGTGGATGATATATGGCCTATAATAGTCGAATAAGTAAAATACAATCTCCGACTAAAATAAGGCAATCCTTTTGTAGAAATAAAAAATGAAAAATAGTCTTTTATATTAATAAGACCCTTATATTTTATAAAAAACTGGTATAATTACACTACAAATCCTCATGACAAATCAATATGGGCGTAAATGAAGACACTATCTTGGTGGTTTTTTAAACTTATAAACTCTTTTCCTTATTTTGGAGTACAACCATTATTTTATATTTTTGTGTTTTTATGTATAGACAAATCTGATGAATATTAGTTAATTAATTATATCCTTTCCTATAAAAAAATGTAGTTTATTACTTAAGGTATTATTTCGGCTGCTTTGGGATATTTTCTTTATTTTAATTGCGTTTCAATGTGGAGCAAAAGTAAAGGATAAGACGCTTATTCGGAATGCTTAATCAATGGACCTGGTTCTACTGTAAATATTATCTAATTGTATTATGACATGGGTGTTTTTTTACTATAAATAGTCTTGGTTTGGATGGCTTATTTTTTCTTACCTTGCTCTAAAGCAAAAGGATAAATTTAATTCAAATATTTAAAATAAGATAATAATGATATTTAAACATAAGAATGTTGTGGAAAAAATATTCTTTTTAAATTTTTAGTCTATGATTTGCTTACTTTTGGAGCGTCAATCGGTATTTATTTTTTGACTTTTAATAAAGGGCTCTCAAAATAATATGATTAGAGTTAAGCTTAAATTTTTATGGCAAAAATATCTTACGGGATATTAAGTTTTCCGTTTATAATTTTTTCGGTTGGATTTATTTCGAATATTATTACTAAAGCGAGACCTACAGCCTACGATAAGTTATAATTATTTTTTAGCTTATATTTTTATTTATTTATTTATATAGATATGGAAATACTGTACCATCAATAAATGGTGTGAAATTTCAATATAAAGAAGATACTAATTAAGATAATTTTAATTAAATTATAAACGTAGATATTGAAGATATATTTAATAAATAATAATGATTTTAATGTTTATTAAAAATATATCAATTTTTATTTTTTTATTTTTTATTTATTATATATTTATATTAATCACATTTTATTATGAGTTCAGTTTTATAAAAAATTTCTAGAATATATATTATGTATTCTTCTGATATTATTTTTTCAGTTATTTATTTGTTTTTGTTTATGTGCTTGGTTAATTATTATTCTATAAATTTAACATTTACACCTTCATGATCTTTTATATTTATTTTTTAAATTTTATATTAAAAAAAAAATTACTTGAAATTGTTTATAAAATAAAATTATTTAAATCATTTAAAGCTGAAATATTAACTTAAATAAAATTATCTGGATAATTAAATTAAATTAATTAGGCTTTTTATATATTTAAAAGTACTTTTTTTAATTGTTTAATACATTATTATTTATTTAAATCTTTCCATTATTAATATTTTTCACAGATCCTATTAAAAATATTCTCTATACAAAATATATTCTCTATATTTTTTATATTTTCCTCAGTTAAAATTTCCAATTAGTTATATTAATCATATAATTACATTTATATTATTACCAAAGTCTAAGAACTTAACTCTTATCTAACTTTTTACCATTTAATGTATTATTATTATTATTATTATTATTATTATTATTATTATTATTATTATTATTATTATGATTATTAACTGTTTAAATTAGATATTTATTTTTATTATTAATACTAATTATTACTTATAAAAAATCCATTTTATTTTTGACGTTCTTCTTTTTTTATTTTATATAAATAAGTTTCTAAGTAAAGTTTTAACTCTTCATTTGAATTATTTATAATTCCTTTTTAAAAAAAACATATTTATAATTAATATATTAATTTATAAAAATACTATATCTATCTACATAAATTTTACATATTATATCTCCTCCTTGCATTTCTATTTTTTTTAAATATCCTACACCTGTAATTGCTTTGTATTTTTTTATTTCTTATTTTTAGTTTTTTAAAATTTGAACTTCAGCTTCTCCTGTTCCATCTTATACTATTTTTAATATTAAAATTTAATATTTTTTTACAAAAAAAATTATTACTTATTAATTTTAAAAATGTATTTTAATCATTTTCATAGTTTGAAAATTAATATTCTTAAATATTTAAAATCAAACCTGTAAAACATAATTTGAACATATTTGGTAAACCTAAAAGTTCTTTTAAAAAAACTAACTCATATATATTTTCTTATATATATTAATTTATTATATTTTCTTAATTATTTTCTTATATTTCATTCATTTTAATTTGTTTCTTTGAAATAAAATAACACAAAAATATTAAAAAGATATAAAATATATTTATAATAAAATAAAAATGCAAAATATAAATATTTTTTTTTTTTTTTAAATAAAATTCTATTTCAAATTTTAAAAATTTTCGATACACTATTTCTTTTTTAATTAATTTCCGAAAAAGATGTATTTTTTTATTTCGGAACATTTATAGATTATGAATTTTAAGTAAAAGGAATTTTTTTGTGATTTTTTACAGTTTTTTTTTGATTTTAAATACTTTCTTCAGATTTAATCTTTATATTTTTTTTATTTTCTTATATTTTTTTATTAGATTAATTTTTTTCTAGTTCTTATTATTAATTAAGTTATTTTAATTATGGGTTTTTAAATAAATATGGATAATCTTCCATTAAACTTTCTATTGGTTCTTCTAGGATTTCGACCCCTTTGAAACTTTGACCTATTTTTTCTTCATTTTACTAGAATATTTAATTATATTTGTTAAAATTATTACTCATTTCATCTATAAAATAACTCGTTTATTAAAAAAAGTTTTATTCTTCTTCGTTTTTTTTATTAATATTAATTCACCAATATTTTTTTTCTCCAAATGTATGTTCTTTTTCTTGTTCTAAAATATTTTTATTATTTTCTTAAAAAATATTTTCTTTAAATTAATGAAAATGTTTAAATAAGTTTTCTTGTCCTTCTCTAGAAAAATCTTCTTGTCGGAAATCTTAATTTTTCGAAGTTTTTTTAAAATCTTATTTTTTTTTAGAAAAATCTTCAATTTTTTATTTTATATTCCATAACTAATTATCTACTTATTCATTATTTATATATTTTTCTTTATTTTTTATTTTTTTATTTATTTGTTATAAATCTTATATTAAAAAATATGATTTTTTTTCTTCGTTATTATTTTCTTATATTTCTTTTTCTTCTTCTGTATAATCTTCATTTATTTTATCTTTTTTCAAAAAGTCTTCATTTTAGTTACAAAATTCTTCATTTTTTTAACTTAAAAATTCATTATCATAAAACTATTAGGTTTTTTAAAAATTTAAATATTCTTTATTTTTTAATTTTAAAATTCTTCATTTTTTTAAATTTTAAAGCTTAAATTTTTTCTTTGTTTTAAAGTATTTTCTTCATCAAATAATTCTTCTTATACTTTAATCTAAATATTTTCCTCTCTATTTATTTGATTTTCATTGACTTTTTCTTCTGATTCCTATACATATAATTCAGAATAATCGCTATGTTTTACATTAATTAAATTTGTTTCATTAATAAAATTATTTTCATTTACAATTTTTTTTTCATTTAGAAAGCTTTTATCATCTATAAAACTTTTTTCTTCTTCTTTATTTTAGCATTAATAGCACAATTTTTTTTCATTAATTAAAGCTTCTTAAATTTTATTTAAAGCCTCATAATAAATATGTACATTATTTTCATCTGAAGATGAAGCTTTCATATCTAAAGTGCATTTCATTTAATACAAAATATTCTTTTCTTTAAACTAAATATGCTTTTTTTCAAAAATATTCATAAAATTGCCAAAATAAGATTATGGATTTCCACTATTTAATATATGTTACATTATTATTAACCAATTTTCTAAAAATCTACATTTTAATTCATTTATTATCATATATATTTTCTCTATTTACGCATTTATGTTTTCTTTATTTGTTATTGAGTTACTTATTAGATAAGTTTCAGTTTCGTTTAATTAGCCTATTAGTGTTTCACATAGCTTTTCTTACATATATGTTTGTTCTTAATACATTTTTTTTTAATTTTTTATATTTTATATATAAAATTAATGAATTGATTTTTTTTTTTTTAAAAAAAAAATACATAATAAAATTATGTTTTTTTTTTAAATATAAATATTAATAGTTTTTATTATTATTTAATTTTTTTTTTAATAATTAATATATATATATATATGTTTCTATCAAATAAAATCTTAAGTATCTCTTATTTTTATTCCACTTTTTATATTAAAAAAAATTATTAAAACATTTCTATATTATAATAATATTTACTATAAATCTATCTAAACATTTAATAAATTATTATTTTTCTTTAATACATTACCTAAATAGCTTACAGTATTTTTTGAAAAATTTTAATTTTTTCTAAATTATAAAAAAATATTAATAAATAATTAAGAATGAATTAATACTCTATATTTATAATTATGTTTCTTAATTTTTTTAAAAACTATAAAGAATCGGAAAATGCTTTCAATCCTTAATCGGAAAATTTTCTATTTGAACTAATAAGAATAATAATAAAAAATTTAAAACTGAATTATAATATAACAAATTTATTATTACTTAAAACTAAAGTTTAAAAATTATAAATGAGTAAGATATTGAAAAGAATCTGCAAAGCTAAATATTGCGGTATCAGTAAATTAGAAATTTTAACTAATTATAAAATATTTTTAAAGAAAGAAAGTAAGAAAAATATGAAAAAACAAAAAAAAAATTGAAAAATTAATATGAATACCAAAAACTTAATTCTAAAGTATGTAAACTTTTCAGAACTTACAAATTTTTTAATAAAATAGAGATTCCTTCGTCAGTAAAGTTTGTATTTTCACTTTAAAAAAATATATATAATAATTTGATAATATATTAAAAAATACTAAAAATTTAGATTTAGTTCAATTAAATCTAAAAAGTTTATTAATGTTAATCCAAGTTTTTTCAAAAATGAGTTTGTAAATTTTTCATTACATCTTTAAAATTAAATATTTATTTTTATTAAATTTTATTTATTTATATAACCCTAAGTCTAAAGATAGTAAATTTAATTATTTTTAATATTTTAATTTATCTAAAAAGCTATCCATTCCTTCATTTGTAAATTTATTATTCCAACTAAAAAAAAGAAAAATGTAATTTTTATATAAATAATATAAAAAATTATTTATAAATTAATATATATATCTCTTACTTAAAATTAATTTGAATATCTGTAAATTTTTGACTTTAAGTTAATAAATTACTTAATTTAAATAAAATATTATTAGTAAAATTCTCATTATATGAAAAATCTAAATAAATATTCTAAAGTCTATAACTTTTTATAGATTCTAGTAATTCACTAATTCCAATATCAGTAATATTTTTATTTTCACTTTTAAATTAAAAAATATAAAAATAAAGTAAAAAAAAACAAACTGTAAATTTATGTGAAAAGAATATATCAAATGAAATGGTTTAAAGCTTTATGATAAATAAGATAATCCGATATCATTTATATTTTTATTTTTGCTTTTTATATATATAAATGATATTTTAATAAATACAAATATTTTATTTTTATATTTAAAATTTAACTTCATATTAATTTATATAGTTTATAACTATGTTAATTGTAAAATTTGATTTTAAATCCTTTGGAAAGTTTTATTAGTTAGGCTTTCATTAAAGCTATAAATAAAATTATTTATAATATAATTATTTTTTGATTTATTATATACTCAAAATCAATAATTAAAGTATTTAAATATCCAAACTCATGTAAATTACTTAAAATTTATTCTAATTATTAATCATTTATATCACCTTATTAATAACTTTAAAAATAAAAATTATCCTCAAATAAATATTGCTATTTTAAATACCTCTCAATTTTTAAAAATGTAACATATTAACTTGTTTCAGAGTCTAATCCCCATTCAATAGTTAAAAATTACTTTTTTTAATTTTTTTTTTTTTTATAAATTTTTTAAATAATAATTATTTTTTGATTATTAAACTTAATTTTATTCTCTTAATTTTTTAAGTAATTAAACAGGATTACTTATTTAATATGTTTATTATTGTTATTGAGATATTTCTAATTTTTATGTTTAAGAACAGCATTATCCCATTTTTTGTATTTATTTATTTATATTAAATTTAAAAATTAAATTAATAGTTTTTTAATTTTAATTTATTTAAACTAATAAAATAAAATAAAATTTAATTTAGAAATATTATATTTAAATTATAATAATAAAATTTAGCAAATATAAAATTAACATATTTTTAATTATTATATAATTATATATGTTATATTTTTATTTAATATAAAAAATCTTTTATTTAAAAAGACTTTAGTTTTAATTGAATTTCAAAAATATATAATTAATTTAATTTAAAATTATTATTTTTTTTTTATTTCTTAATAATTATAAAAAGTTTCTTTTTTTTTTTTAAAAAAAAAAAAAAAACTATTTTTTTTTTCATTTTAATTTAATTTGATTTGATTTTATTTTTAAATAAATAATTAAATAAAAAAATTAAATTAAAACAAAAAAAATTAATATGTATACATCTTCAAGTAATGCGGCTTTTAGTAATTATCAAAGAAAAAATTTTGATAGCCCAACATTTGATATATAAAGTAATTTATTGTTAATTACAATTTAATATATATATAATACTATAATATTTGTTTTAATCATTTAATAAAAATAAAAAATATTTAAAAATAAAAATATTTTAATCATTAAAAAGATTCACCAAATTTAACTAAAATTGCCTAATTAAATGAAAGAATAAAAAATATGTAATCCACATTTGATGATGGAAAGCATGTACTAAAAAATATAAAATAATTACTATTATTTTTTTATAAAAAAAGGCAAAGAGAGAAATATTTTAAAATAAAATTAAATATTTGGATGAAAGAATTTTAAAAACAGAATAATAAAACGAATAAAAATTTAAAGTAAAAATAAAATTTAAATATTACCATTTTAAATTTGTTTTTTTAAAAAGCTTTTAGCTGAATAATTAAACAAAATACAAGAAAACGTTTAAAATGAAATATTAGCTAGGGACATATTACTTGAAAAAAGGCAAAAAGAAGTAAAGTTATTAGATAAGAGTTTTTCTTTGAATATAAACAAAGAACACTAAGAAAAAAGGAAAATGAAACAAGGATGTTGAGATAATTAGATGAGAAAATATAAGAAATGAAAATAGAAATTTAAAGAGATCGCAAAAAAAGAGAAGAGAACGAAGAATATAGAACTTGTGAAATAGAAAATAGAATAAATGATCTTCGTTTATAATTTGAACATGAAAAAAAAGTTAGAGATGATATTTCTGAAAACCTTATTAGAACTTTTGGAGAAGAAATTCTTAAGTTATAAGAATTATTATGTTAAGAAAAAAGAATTAGGGAAGAATAACATAGTAATATTCTTAAAGTTTTAGAAGATTTAAATGATACTTTAACTTAAGATGTAAATGTAAGTTTTTTTTTATAAACAATTAAAATTTATATATTTTTATAGTAAGAAAAATAAGTTAGAGAAAAATCTGAGGAAATGCTTGTAAAATTATTAGAAGATACTTGTGGTAAAATTGAAAATTCTCTTCTTAATTGAAATATAATAAATAAAACATAAATTTATATATATTTTTTCTTTATAAATAAAAAACAAAAATTTTATATATGTTTTGATTAATAATAATTTTCTTATTTTTCTTTATTAATATGTATATATTTATTTCAAATATAAAATTAAATAGCATTAAAAAGAAATTATTAAAAATACCATTTGTAAATAATATTTTATATAAAATTAATTTAAAAAATTTTGAAATTTTATATATTTATGGAAGTACAAATAAATTGAAAAAAAAAGAAAAAAAAAAAATTGAATTTAATTAAATTTGCAAAAAATAAAATATATTTTATGAAAAAAAAAATAGAATAGATAATATATAGTAATATTAAAACATAAAAAAAAATAAAAAATTAATAGATATATAAATATATAAATGAATATAAATATAATATATATATATATATATATATATATATATATATATATATTTATGTATCTATACTATATATTTATAATTTATTTTCACCCATTATTATTTTTATTTGCATAAGATAAAATAAGCATTCTTATAGATCTAGTTTTTTAACAAATTTCTAGAGGAATCATAGTAACCATAGATCTAATTCTTATAACTTCAATACTTATAGCATTTAAAATAGGTAACCATAGAATTAAATAAAAAACAATTTCTAGAATAAGTGTAATTATTAATAAAAGTACTCTTGTTTAAGTTTAAGAATTAAGCATCAATTATACTCCATCAATAAAAATTTAAATTAAATATTAAAATACATTCCTAATATAAACGTCTTACATAATCTATATTTCAATAATAAACTATTCTTACATTAATTTAATTGTATTTCTTGTAAGCTCTTCTTAATTTGGGAATTACAAAGCTAACTTTTCAAATTTAGTCGCAACCATTCTAAAATTTTCAATATGTCTAGGCAAAGCAATAGCGAAACCTTGCATAATAGTTCCATTTGCATAATCATAGCAATCTTAAGTTGATACTTTTTTCTCAGTTGTTAATATACCACATGTTTTATTATTCATCATAACACTTTCATATGCATTTACATAATTAGCATGATGTGAGGCTAAATTTTTAGAGTGTTCCTTTTACATATTTGAATTCAAAATATACATTTAGTTTATTGCTCCTTTCAAATATTCAAAACTGTTTATTCCATAAGCAGGATAGGAAGGTTGTACAAGCATTTACCTTTGTACATTGTTACTAAAGGAAAAATAGCTTTCAATCATACATGTTACATTCGCTTCGCTTATAAAAAGTTTAATATTATCAGAAATTTATATGGAGAAATAATAAGTAAGCCCAAAATAAATTTCAAGGACAACAACAGAAATAAAAAAAGGAATGAAAAAATTGCTTTTGTTTTTTAAATCAATTTTAAATTTTTTTCTTTTCTTTCCTCTCATTCTTAAAAGAGAATCGTCATCGTTGTTTCCTTTACTTTATAAAGAATTATCTGAAAACATTTCTTCGTCATTTCCTGATTACATTTAGTTCACAAAGTTTTCACTTTTTAAAAATAATTTTTTTGCTTTTGGAGTTGGAATGTCAAGGAATATTGCAAGAACTTCTTTTGAAGATTAATTTACACACAAATAGAAAGGCATAATTATAAAAAATGAAAAAATAACGAATGAAATTGATATTATTAATAAATTTTTGAAAACATCGTTTTTATTTTAAATCCAATTTTAAATTTCTAAAACATAGTAATTTGATATTTTTCGCTAAGCGACATAATACTAATTTAGTATATTATATTGTAAAAAGTAGAAATCCGGATTATTAGTATCAAATTATGATAATTCAAATGTTTTTACTTAATTTATTTAAGATATCAATTATTACGTGGCTTCATTTATATCAAAAGCTCTTGTTCTTTCAGTATTTTCTTCTTTGAATTTCATTTCAACAGAATCACTGCTAAATAATTCTTTATGTTCAGGAAGCATATCAAATGTATTTAACTAAATATAATTTTAAAGTTCTTACATATTTTTAAGCCCTTCTTCTATATCATCTTTTTATTATTTAATATTAGCCTCTTTTTTTTCTTAGTTATCAAATTTAATAGCTTAAATATTTATAGAATATAATTAAAATAATTTAGAAAGTATCAATTAAGAGGATGAAATGAGTAAATTATTTTTACTAAGTAGTTAATATCTTTCCATACATTAAGAAAATTCACTTTCAGACAAGAAATGGTTAACCAGGCATAAAATAGCCAATATAATCATAAAAAGAGTTGAAATTCTTCTTAAAGTCTTAACAGAAGAAGATTATAAAAATTATTCGCTTTAAGTAAAAGAAATAAAGCTTTGTCTATTTTTAAATATTGTTCCTATTTCACTACTTTCTTCAATTTCTTCTATTTCTTGTTTTCCATCTTTTGTTTAGTTTTATTCATCTTCATTTTATTCGTCATCATCTACATCTTCATCTCTTTTTATATCTTCTACATCTTATACTTTTCCTTAAAATAATCTTAAAGTTTTTATTCCAAATCCATATTTTGGTTCTTTTTTTTATTTATATATATATTTAATTATATATATATATATTTTTTTATTTTATTACTATTTGCTTCTATTTCATCATCTTTTTCTTATTAAGTTCTGTTGTCAATAATTTCTTCTGCTTATTTTAAATAATAAGAGGAATCAGGAATTATTATTGTCTAGTCTATTTCTTCGTTTATTTAACCTGGTGGTCCATCAAGTAAATTTCCAAGAAATTATTTGTTAACAGGATCATATTTCATTTAGAAATTCTTTTAAATAGATTTTATATAAGTTCTATTAGTAAAAGGATTTAAAGTTTAGTACGGATCAAATTTTTTTGGAGAAGATGCATCTTTATTCTCTGTTTAAATGTTAGATTAACTATTTTTAACTTTTTCAACTCTAACATAATATCCTTAAAATCCTAAATTTCTAAATTATACTTCTTAAGCTTAAATATTAACAATAAATTCTTTACTTTTTTTTTTTAAGTCAACAGCTATAGTATTAAAACCATTTTTCATTTAAATTTCTTTAATTTTATCATAAAAGTCACACACGGCATCAGTAATAGTCATTTTTTTCTTCAATATTCTTTTTTAATCCACTAAAAATATATTAATGGACGTAGAAGTAGTATTTTATATTTTCCCTTCACTATCAACAAGCATATAACAGACTAAATTGACAGTTTTTTAAACTCTAAATTGAGCCACAAACTATAAGCCATGTATTAAGGAAGGAACATGTCTAATAATGGCTATTAAAGGCACAATATAATCCAATTTGTTTTTACCTGGAAATTACTTTTCAATATTTAAAATTCTAGACTCTAAGGAAGATAAATATGATTCAATAAAAGTATCATGATATTTAGAATACATATTCGGCATTAATACTTTCACATTTCTATTTAATATTTCCATTTTATTATATCCTAATTATCCACTTGCTGCTAAATTAATATTAGAAATAATTCCAAAAGAATCTTCTTCTGCTGAGATAAAGACAGTAGGCTTACTTTCTGAATTCAAATCTATTAATCCACTAGTCTTATTCTAAGCATTCTTAGCATTTGAATCACATAATTTCATTAATATTTCCTCTCCTCCATCTTTATCATTTAAAATCTCAATCATGAATTTAGCATACAGCCTCATCATAGAAGGAATAAAAGAATCATTTTATTAAAGTTTTTTCCATTATTCCTCTGCTAATTAGTTTATTATATTTATTTTATATCCTATTTCACTTAGTTTCCCTAAATCAGGAGCATCTTCACTTAATTAAGACCAAAACTCAAGATGAAGATTTGCACTTTTTTCTATGTTTGTTCTGCACTATTTTAAATGTGTTTAAACTGAAAGTTCATTTACCATTTCATAATTATCTCCTTTTTTGCCATTTTAATCCGATCTTTCAATAAGAGAATTTTCAATTATTATTTTATATCTAAAAATAACGTTTTAATAACATAATTTATAAATAATAATACTACCTATAAATAATAAATTATTCATCAAAAGAAGGTCTTTCCAATTCAGCATTCAATAATTCTTATAGTGCTTATTATTTAGTTTACATTTTGTCTAAAAGATATAATGCATAAAGAATCCTAAGTCTCGTATTATTAGGAAATTTTTATAATCCATAATAATACATTCCTTACATAACAGCAATAACCATAATAACTTATTCGCATTCTCCTTATTATCTTAACATTTTAGAAAATTTAGTAGTTTTAAGAACTCTCCTTTTAGTATTAGTGTCTTCTTTACTTGTTAAGCATCTATGATAATCTAAAAATCCGTCAATAAGAATAGCTATTCCTTTATGGGAATGATAAAGGTTTACTAATTTAGTTAAATAAGTGAGTTAATTCATTGGTTATGCTAATACTTCGTAATTATTACTATTTATTAGAATATAGTCAAAATTCTATTCTTGTCTTAAAATAACTATAAGTACAATAAAAGGCAATCCAATAATCCAAACAATAATTGTTCCATCAAACGAATAATTATACATTATTTTGGCTAGAAGAAGCATCTATTTTTTTATATATTAAATATTATATCATTATTAT